CTCAGGAACACCTTTTTGAATTATCATAATATTATTACTCCTATTTGTATCAATTTTCCCCTATTGTTGCTGTTTACTTGTACGTTGTAATGCTCTGTGAGTTCTTCTCAATTTCGTGTATGACTGAAATTTTCGATTGATGAAATTATCGAGGCGTCATGTGTCAACTCTATTTCAGTGCCGAAATCGCAGTGAGAATGAAATGGATGATACACTTATTTTGCGTACTCGCTATTATTGTACTAGCTGTGGTCATACATTTTGTGAAGAAATTCTCGAAACTGTATTCTCGAGCACATTCAAACGTATGTTCGTTTGGAAACTTTCATCTTATTCCAATTTACAGGCTTCATTACGGTGAATTTTGAAGTGTACCAAATTTCATGTCTAATGAGGTTGTTTTTACTACAACTGTTTACCACGATTTTGCTCTCTCCTATCAACAACAACAACAATTTTTGAATATAACGTAGTCAATTTCCTTTTCAACTAGTATTGGTCATCCTAATTGAAGTATCACTTATCGTAACCATAAACCTCATTTCCTGAAGAAATTCATCCTAAAAAAAAGATTTCAGAGCAATAACTTAGCCCCTCCGAATCCTCCAAGTATTTATCCGCCTGTTAGGACATTCGACATGCGATCTGGTGCCTCTTCTATGATACAAGCAATCGACGTTACCAAGGTAAGTTATTTTTCGGCGATGACGTTTTCAAATTTTGTTTTTCAAAAGCTTCCGATACTGAATTATTTCTAAGTTGATCCACAATTTGTTTGTTGAAAAATTTGGCAATGAGGATGAATCCAAGAGAGTCGTGGCGAAGCATGTTGTGAGCAGTGAAAATGGAAACTAAATAAATGAAATGAAAAGGGCATAATTTGATAACGGAAACAATTTTGAGAGGCACAACTCATATTCCTTCTGTAATGTTAATCCAGAAACGTCATCTTTCAGTTGAATTGAAGCTGTTGAATTCCGAAGAGATTCATGTGCAAAGCTGCGTTGATTTTTGCGAGTTGCTCTTTTCAGATAACCTACGCGGAACCACCACCCCCATATCCTGGCTTGCCGAGTGTTCAGTTACCGGATCCGCCAACTTATCACACACTTCCTGGCTCAACAAATTCAGGCTCAACGGCAAACTTATCAACCGAACCGTTTAGGCCATACTATGAGAGTGCATTACCACTGAAACGTTAATTGTGAATATCCTTGCGTTTGTTCAGTGAAATAATTTCTATATAAAACACACTTTCGATCTGTATTATATGTGCTTAACTTATAAATTAGGTATATGTATACAGTTATAGTTCGTTAGTTTGTTATTTATCGTTGGTTGTTTGGGGATTTATTGCAGTGATGTGATCATCGTAACGTTTCACTTTTCGTATTAATATGTTAGTACATCACTTTAGATTGCCTTTTTAACGAGATGCAACCAGTTTGAAACATCAGCTTTCATACAATAAATTCAACGAAAATTTCAATTTTGGACTTGATTGCGAGTCTGCAGTTCTTTCGTTTGTTCATGATTCATTCACTCACTGCCACTGTGAAGCATAGAAAAGTTACGGAAATTTGCGTGAGAAGTTGACGCTTCAGAAAGAAATTGTAATAATTTCTGGATGGTAAAGTATCTCTTTGATCGCAACACAATATCGGTCGTAATCAACGACGTTTGTTCATCAGGGAAAAGAAACACTCATTGTCAGTGAGAAGTGTTCTGCGCAATTAAAACGAACAACATTATAGTAATAATGACAGGAATAATCTTAGTGATTAAAGGAATGATATTTGTTTTTCATGTAATCTGTATCATGGCTAGTGTGAATGTTTGTTATGCATCTGTGTCATAATAAGCATAGCAAAACATCTGGGTGATGCTGAGAAGAATATCGGTAATATTAATTATGACGATAGCTAAGATCGCGATTAAGACAATCATAATGTTCAGGGTAATCGTAGCACTAATAACAATGATGTCAAAATATGTTTGTCCATTGAAAGGACAACAACTCATTCATGGCTAGTTGCATTTCGTATGGATTGATTATTTGTGGTAATTATATCGCGAGTAGTTTTGTATTCAATTATTTCGAACAGCTGAATTGTTTGTTAGTTGTTGTATTCGAATGATGTGTTCGGTACATTTTGATGATGATTTTTTCTCAATAATTTGTGGTCTTATACAATATGTAAATAATTGTCGATAAACACCGCCTGAAGTTCGCTTCTACAGAAGCAACTGCTTGCATACACGCAGAAGCTGCCACTCGAAAATTTAAAAGAAAATGAAACTGCTTTCTTGAGGTTTTAATGCGATTCGAATATTTATTCTCTGGCAATAATTCCTCTGTCACGGTAATGTTCTTACAAAGAAATAATTCCGAGATTGTATTGGTTTTCGTTCGAAATCATATTTGAAAAGTGGCTATCGAAAGGGAAAAGAAACAAGCTTATTGGTGTGATCCTCAAACAAAACTATGGAATGGTGTTGATCCTTTATCGTAACGTTTCTTGGCCAGCAACGACTTATCGTATGTTCCCTCGATCCTATCCAGATACGGAGAACTGAATGCATAGCTGTTCACGGGTCGACGGAATTTCTTCCATATATTCCGCTTGGATTGCTAAAATTTCAAAAAATTTACGTTTCAGCACAAGTGAAGCATTGTTGAATATCGCTCAGTCTAAGGGATACCTTCAACAAAATTGTAATTATGTTCAACATGGGATCGTAAGTCTCATTATATTTTCATGACTGAATGCTCGTACGGCTTTAGGACTTTTCCCAGTGATTCTTTTTTTTCTTTTGAGAACTTCTCATGATAGTGAGAATCAATCAGCACTTCCTAAGAGACGGCAATGGTCATGAAACAATGGACGATTCGAAGAAAACCTGAAGCTCAAAAACGTTCCTCTTTCGATTCCAGAAATTCCGATTAATCGGCATGACAGACTCTTGTGTTCGATCCGGTTTTTGTATTAAGAGAGTCATCGGATCGCTGAAACTTAATTACTTCACCTAAATGAATTCACACTTCAATTGCTTCTATCATAATGCTGACAATGAATCTTGAGTTGTAATTCATAATAAAAATGGGTTATTATAAAATGAGTTATTAATAGAAATCACGTTGTTCATTCAGATGAATACAGCAGAATAACCTCCTTACGTATTTGTGAATGTGCAAGACAGCTTGAAAGACTCACCTGATGAATTTCACAGGATCAATTACTGCC